GGTAGTTTAGTACAAAGGTCAGCAAAATGTTTTTCTGTAAAGGACCAGATAGTAAATATTTTAGGCTTTGTGTGCCAGACAATCTCTGTTGCAACTATGCAACTCTGCCGTTATAGCATGAAAGCAGCCATAGACTTTATGTTATCAAATGACTGGGTCTGTGTGCCAGTAAAACTTTATTTACAAAAACAGGCATTGAGCTGGATTTGGCCTATGGTTTGCAACCCTCTGGGCTAGTGTTAGGGAGCTCTGGTGGTATAGTGCCTAAGGCATTTGACTGCTAACCAGAAGGCTGACGGTTCAGTGCATAATCACCAGCCACTACTCCAAGGGAAGGTTGGGCAATCTACTTCTATAGTGATACTGCCTCGGAAACCCAAGGAGGGGTCGCTGTGAGTCAGATCCGACTGGACAGCAATGACTTTGGGTTTGTTTGTTTGTTGTTGTTGTTGTTTGGTGGGGGGGGGGGGTGGCTAGTGTTACATGCTGTATACTCTGAACTGTGGTCATATAAGGAACAAGTCCTGGACTGACTGGGCAGCAGAGGCCTGATCATGGTCTCTTTGACTTAACTATTAGGAGACTGTGGATAAGCAACTTCACCTCCGTTTTCACAGCTCTTAAATATCTGTTGAATAGCTGTTCTGCTTACATGTGTGTGACACTCTGATGAAAGCCTGTAGCAAAGCTTATTCCTACTGTCAGTATCATTCTAATAAACACATATAACCTCAAATGTCAGCTCCATGAGACAGAGCTTTTATTGTTTTACTTTTTTTTTTTTTTTGTTCGCTAATCTATTCTAAACACCCAGAATAGTGCTGAGCACAGAGTAGGCCCTCAAATATGTGGTGAATGAATTGAGTGAATGAATGAATGTTGAAGATAAGGTAAAATCTCTACTTATATATCCAAACAAGTGTCATCAAACAGCCCCTATATCTCTAAATATCAGAAGTCCCAACTTTGCTCCCTCAGGATGAAATACCATTGCTTCATTTGTCTCTTCTGTAAAATGACAAGCATAATACCCTACCCCCTGCTTACCTGATAAAACTGTTGCTAGAGAGATAACACATGTGAAAGTACATGTCATCTGGAGCAAGGCTTCTCAGACTTGAATGGTCATGTGAATCACCCAGGAATCTTAGCACAGTGCAGACTCTGAATTCAGGTCTGAAATAAATCCCGAGACTGAATTTCTAGCAAACCCCCAGGTGATACTCATGCTCCTGGTCCTCAGAGCACACTTTGAATGATCCCATGTCCATTTTGAAGCTAACACCAATGATCAGTACCCAGAGTAGTTGAAGTACTAGCCTCTCAGACCTACCATGAAGAACAGAAATGGTGTGCGGGCTGATAAGTCTTTCAGTGATGACACACACTGTTGTTGTAACTGAAGATAGTCAGTAATTCTGATTTAATAACGTTAGTCCCACAGTGGCTACAACAAAGGCTCAAACATAGCAATGATTGTGAGTTGGCACAGGACTGGGCAGTGCTTCATTCTGTTACACATAGGGTCACTGTGAGTTGGAATTAACTCGGTGGCACCTAACTACAACAACAACAGACCCGTTTTATTAGTTCTTCCATGTCTGAATATTAGCCATAATTCTCTGGCTAAACACCAACTGGAGTTTGGAGTTTAGATATATTTATATACATTGGAGCTGGGTAACCTTGGGTCTGCTCTTTATTTGTCAGTCTCCTCGAAGCCTCTTTATTTGCTTTGGGTGTAACTAATCCCACAGACCTCTTGAGCCTGCAGCCTTTTCCTGGGTAATTTGTAAACTGATGTATTTTCCAGGAGATGTTTAATCTGCGAATTATTGCTCTTCCTCAAAGAACTTATTGTGTAAAAGCCACAGGGTATCCAGGCCAGGGACAGAGCTAGGGAAGAGGCTCTGGTAAAGAAATAGCATCCAAAAAGATGGCCGGAAGCAGGTCTCTCCTCCCAGCCCTCTGTCCCTGAATGCACTGCAAGGCAATCCCTTTACAACATATGCTGGAAAATCTCTGTATAAATAAAATAGCTCTGAACCAATTAGTTCATGCAGAATATTTAGTGGTCAGTGGAAGAAGTTTAGCTGTTCCCTTAACACTCACTGTGAAGGGATTTCACCAGAGCAGTTCAGGAGTGAATGACAGAGTTTCAGCATTTTAATAATTAGTCCTCAGAACTCTTTACAAAAGGGAGGTCATATGGCTGCTAAGAGATGATGGAGAGTCATGTGGTTTGAAGGACTCATCAGTGAGGAGAAAACAGTAGTTGGATCAGGATAAGGTACTACTACACCTAAACTTCCTTTCTTTATAGGCCTTTGTTAGTTTTCAAAGCCCTTTCAAATACAAGCGTTGTTACCTCACTTGACTTGCTCAAGGTGACACAACCGGTAACGTTGGAGCCACATTTCTGATTCTTATCACAGTGCTTTTTGGTTCCGTGCCTTAGAACTAATAGGCGATGCTGCTAGAGTGACCAGCTCGTCCTCTATGCCCAGAACATACCTAGTTTCAGCCCTTGAAGTCCTACATTTCAGGAGTCCCTTCTCAATTTTCATGCTGAAATGATCACCTTAGATAGTACTGAAACTTGAATCTAGGCCTGGCCTACTATGAAGTCCTGCTTCTTCCTCTATACCAGTGCTTCTCAGACTACAGTGCATAATCATTTGCACTGAGTAGTATAGTCTGGTTCATTAGATCTGGAATGGGACCTGAGAGTCTACATTTCTGACAGCCCTCCTCCCTCCACTGGGGATGCCGAGGCTTCTAGTCTTCAGACCATACTGTGAGTACTGAGGCACTAAACTACTACCATATTTTTACACAAATATGTGCCTTCTATGTTTGTTTGCCAACTGCTCACTCCCACAGGGAGTTAGGTGTTTTTTTTTTAAACAACAAAAAAAAAAAACCCAGGAACGTTAAAAATAAATAAATAATCGATGTAGCAGCATTACGAAAACACCTCCTGGGGTGGGAGAGAGTGGTTGGCAAACAAATGTACAAGGGATGCATCGTCTAAGTAAAAATACAGTACTTCCATTTGAAGCCTTGAAGTTTCATCATCTTTCCAAAGGGCTCCTGTCTGGGCTGCCACTATCTGGGGCCTGGCACAGCCATCAGCCCAGAGAGGTGATCAGAACCTTGTATCCGTGGGAGCTCCTGGCAATTTCTATTGTATCGCAGCTCCCCCTCCACTATCCCTCTGACTCTAAACAAACCCTCTCCACTCCTCCCCAGAGGCTCTCCCAGCCCCTCTTTTCACCTGGCATTTGTCAAAAAACTTCAGTGCCAAATTTATGCCTCTCAGGGACCAGGTACAATCCTGAGATAGCCAACTGAAGCACCAGGGCCACCCTGCATAGGCACCCTCAGACCAGCAGGTTGGCTCCCTTAGAAGCTGGGTGAGCCAGTCTTGCTGCAGGCAAAACTGTCAAATAGAGTTTTAGTAACCTTATATTTTGGGACTGACCTAATTACTTATGGTTTAGGGATGTTCCTATATGTCATTAAATATATGTCTGGTTATAAGGTTAAATTCTAGGGCCCTTTTGTCACTCAAGTACCACTGTTTTAGGCTCATGAAATGGGACCATCCAATACATACTTCAGTAGACTGGAAGTAATATGGGTACTGACTATGGGACACTGGGACAATCTAGGATCTGACTGACATTTCCCTCTGATTAGATACTGCCTGACTATTCATCAACAAAGGCTGTAAGATATGTCTTTCACAGGCTATGTGGTATCTCATATGTGTGGGCCTTAGAGACAGGAACACTTAGATTTGATTTCAGATTCTGCCACTTACAAGCTATGTGACATTGGACCAATTGCTTTCTGAGCTTGTTTTCTCATCTATAAAATGAGTTTTTTATTAATACCTAACTCACAGCACCATTGTGAAAACTGAGGAAGATAATATGCCTGACAGATAGAAGCTGCTCAGTACATATTACCACAATCATCATCAGTTATTGTGTTTCTTCCCTCAAGAAACTGAGCCTATACAAACAAGCACCTTGAAGGAGTGGGTCACTGGGCCTGTGGGCATGGTCACAGGGGACATCAAGCTCAATTGGCACAAGATGGTATACAAAAATATTGTTCTATATCTTACTTCAGTGGATAGCAACTGGGGTCTTAAAAGCTTATGAGCAGCCTCTAAGTGGCAATGTTTTGCCTCTCCTTGTCTGGAGCAAAGAAGAGTGAAGAAAATCAAAGATACATGGAAACAGTTAGTCCAAAGAACTAATGAACCATAAGAACCTCAGCCTATATGACCCTGAGACCAAAAGAACTAGATGGTGCCCAGCCACCAATGCCATCCACTTGAAAGGGATCAAAATTAGAGATAATTTGGAACAAAACCCAAAATCATAAAAAAAAAAAAAAGACTAGGCTTACTATCCTGATAGAGACTGGTGAACCCCCTGAGACTATGGCCCCAAGTCACCCTTTGGACCTGGAATTGAACTCACTCCCATGGATTAGCTCTCAGCCAAATGGATAGGTCTATGAGTTGAACATCTACACCAGAGAGATGCACTCCTTACAACATTCAACCAAGGGAAATGAGAAGGGTAGCATTTGCACAGGGAAAAAGGTAGGGAGCCAGGAATGTATAGGCAAGAAAGACACAGGGAAAGGTAACCACAGGGAGAAAGTGGGATATGAGCTGTTACACTGCAGAGAATGTCACAAAACAAAAGGTGTAAGAACTACTGAATGTAAAACAAATCTGCTGTGAAAAATTTCACCCAAATCAATAAAAAGTTAAAAAAAAAAAAGAAAGAAATTGAGCCTAAAAAATAAGTATGAGCTGTTGGTGGGGTGGAGCAGGCAGATGCAAACCACTAGATAGAGAAGGGCATGCAGACCCCAGGACTGCCTGGTCAAGCCTAGGAACAGCAGTGCTACCTTTTCTCCTCTTTTCCTGCTCTACTGCATAGCTGCTGAGAAACTGTGTTGACTTGTCTCCACAGGCACAGGGAGAATTTGGATGGATGACGTTGCCTGCAAGGGCACAGAAGACACCATCTTCCGCTGCGTCTTCTCCAAGTGGGGGGTGACAAACTGTGGACATGCTGAGGATGCTGGAGTGACGTGCAGCAAACACTGAAAAGTGGGCACAGGCTAATGTCCGGGCAGTACTTCAGAGCCTCCTTCCTGCATTCCTAGGGTGGGGGCATCACTTGGGACTACCCTGCCCGTGCCTTTTTCCTGCTCAATCTAGCACGCCCTCCCCCATACTCCTTGTCCCAGGACCATGGTGAGCTGTCATCATTCTCCTTGTGGGCATCTGCTCCAAAGCACACTCTGGGATCAACTGCCAGCCTCTGCCTTCCACTAGGGTCCCTGCACAGGGAGCCTGGTCACCTGGATTGCCAGTTTGCCTGGCCTTCTAAGCACCATTTATCAGGCCTGAGAACCCATGCTCTTTTTGGTCTGGTAGTTACAGATGATTGCTGAGAATATATCTGAGACAAATGAAGCAATGGAGATGAGAGGGAGGCATTATGGATCATTTATTCTTCAGGTGCTTCCCAAACCTCATTTAGCCAAGAGTTTCAACATCTTGCTCCCCAGCAAGAGGCAATACTGGATGATTCATTTTCCCTCTTAGCTCTGCCAGTTTGAGGAAGTAACAAAAGGGAGAAGCCAGTTGTAAGAAGGAACAGGAAATACAAGTCACCTGGAAGAATAAAATTGAATTTGGAGAAGAGAAGTGAAACTAACATTAATTGAATAACTACCATAGTGTGCTCCAACCTTGGGAGCTGACTTCATTTATCCACTTGGCAGCATTTGTAAAATGCGTGTTAACCTAGGTATGACTTACCTCTAGGTAGCACTCAATTGACTCATTCATCTTGTCTACAAATTATAAGACTCAGAATGACTAAGGCTATTGGTCCTACTATTGGCCCTACCTGTACCTTAATCTGACTTTGCTAGGCTTGAGCAAGAAGCTTGGGTGTGAGATATGTCTGACTAGAAATCTTCATCCTCCAAGCCTAGTGTGTATGAATGCGAGACAACCAGAGATGATTGGCTTCCAGGTATAACCATCCATATAGGAGGAATGCTGATTTGGAGGGTGACATGGGAGCTGTCTATATTAAACTGAAGCCAGTGCCCACTTATCAGACAGTCAGTGTTAAGTCTGTGTCGGGAGACTCAGATGACTCACCTATTGAAGGTGATGATATTGCACTTTCCAGACTGCTTCGGAAGTGTTCCTGTGGTCAGGAGAAGATATATCCTGATGGATCCTGTAGGGGTGGAAGGAAGTGAGGAGTCCTTATGACTTCCAGGGGGAAAAGGAGGCCAAGGCGCCTCTGCAAGTCCCTGATCTACAGCCCCTTCAGGTGACAGATAAGGTCATATTCTGCTTTTTCACACAAGATAGGACTAAGGAAGATAAATCATAATGAGTGCACACAGCCCCACCTCATTTAGAGGGAATCACAGACTCACAGGCCTTGAACACACAGTCACCTATCATCAGTGTGCGTATAGGCCTGCTTGGGGAAGTGAGACCTGAGATCCTCCAGGTATAGGACCAGCAAAGTTCCTGGCTGACATCTAAACCAATATGTTCTCTTGGTCATTCTTTGCTTATAATATATGCTTGTTATTCATTAACATCCTAGTGATCAGAGACTCTTCTTCTGACCAATTGCTATGTTTACATAACACGCATATACTCATGCTTTTTCCAGAGCCAATATGTGTATGTATATATAAACATAGCACTCTTTACTACATAGCTCAGCACATTGCCAAGTTTGTGTTTAAGAAAATAATAAAGGTGAAGATGTCACATTTAACAAATTCCAAAGTTGGTTCTGGCAAACAATCCAGTTACCTTACATAATTTTTCACTTGATCTTTTTATTTGGGAAAATACAAGTCCTGTTTTATAGTAAATAAAAAAGAAAGTTGAAATGTGTTTGAACCTTCAAAGTCTAACTAGTTTACATACTGCTTAAGAGAACATGGAAATGATCATGAACCTGTATTTCAGGGATTAAAGGAAATTAGGCCTGGCTTAAAATAAATTAGACCTTTTCTAAGAAACTGCCAATAAAACTAAAAATATGTCACTAACAAGCTATCCATCACGTATGTTCTTATTCAAACACTGTGAGTATGGGCATGAATGGTGAAAGCTGGATGTCTGATCATTTTTCAGTGGGGATTGGTAGAACAGGGAGCTTAAGAAAAGCTGTCTAAATTCTTTCTGGAGGACAGTAAGTATAATCTAAAAGAAGAACATGATGGAACTTGAGTCTTAAGCCTTACTGGTAACCAAAGGAAATGAGTCCCAAGAAGCAGTACAATGATCAAGGTCTATCTTATAAGAGGATTGGTTTTGTATTCAATTAAGAAGAGAACACACTGCCTGTTTCCTCACATCTCCAGAGTTCTCACTTAAGGATGTGCTTTCCTCTGGAGTTCAATTATAATTGCCCCTCATTTTAATTTACATAAGAAGGTAGTCCACAGTTAGGTACAAGGTCAACAAAGTCTTTGAGCCTCATTATCTAGGAATTCCCAGACACAGGACCCTAGTAGCTGTGTGGGAATGACCCAGACCAGTGCATAATCCAGGCCACATGCTCATAGTTATGGCAGCACTTAGTCATCAGGCAGACAGGGTTAAAGCCTGTGTCATGAGACTCAAATGGCTCAGCTATTTAGAGGTGATGATATCACACTTTCTGGATTGGTTTGGATGTGAGCTTGTGGTCAGGAGAATGGCCCCAGGCTTGTTTTGGGCTATGGTAATTTGTTAAAAGGAGTCAACTAAGGAAAAGTGACTTTCTGAAAATCCAGAGAGGAAGAAAGCACCCTGTCTTTCCTCCTCTAAAAGGCCTGGTGATATCCTCTAAATCACTGTGGTTCCCATTCTATAAACAGTCACCATGGAGAAAGACAGAGGCCCTTCTTTCTGCCCACCTTAATGTATAAAATGCACCGCTATTACATTCATCTCCAGAGCCTGTGATGAGGGCCTCTGTGAGTTACAGTTAAACATAACCACTGGAATGAACTAGATACTAGGAAAGAGTTAAAACTTTCTCAAATATAGGTATCCCTTAGTTTCTTCATCTACAATCAGTTACTCTAACGTTTCTATAAAGTTTCAAATGTGTTCATATAAAAGGTGTTCCATAAAATTTCAAATCATTTGTCATCTTGATTTTAGAACAGCTCTCCTTTCAATCCTTCATAGAACACATTTCTTCCTTTTCTCTCCTTCTCTTCCATCTTTAGCTTTTTAGAGCTGACATGGGGTTCTGACTGAATGGAGCTTTGTTAGTTATCCTTCCCCACCTGCCCATCCAATTAGTAGGTTAAGGAGCTTTCAGTCCCTGGATGGTACTCTTAGGTGCTGACTGAAGGGTTAGAGGTCCAAGTCTACCCAGAGGAACCTAGCCATCTACTTCCAAAACATCAACCCCTGAAAACCCCGTGGAGCCCAATTCTACTCTAACACGCATGAGGTCGCCACGAGTTAGAATCAAGTCATTGGCAAGTCGTTTGGTTTTTTAAGGAGCTTTCAAGAAGGACTTTCAATCCTTTGGGTAATTTTTCCAGTCTGGCTAGAGGGAACTGGAAGAATTCCCAGCCCTGTGTGAGCAATGATAATTAATTGTTCTTTCCTCAAAAATTGTTCTTGCTGGTCCCATGGGGTACATCCTACACCTGCACAGATTGGTATTCAGCCAGACTCAAAGAGAATCCCTATGTGCATTTCTGGAACTCTTCTCTTTAGTACTATGCCCTCCAAATTCTAGCCACCTTGGTTTCCTCTATCCCCAATCTTTGTTTTCACAACTCAGTGACACTGATGGACCATTTGGGCTCCCCCTTCTTATTCTGTTCTGCAGGAGCTCTGCTGACATAGTGCCTAAGGCATTTGACTACCAACCAGAAGGTTGGCAGTTCAGACCCACCAGCCACTCCTCAGAAGGAAGATTGGGCAAACTACTTCTATAGAGATACTCAAACTCACTGCCGTCAACTTGGATCTGACTCATAATGACCCCTCCCCTTGGGTTTCCGAGGCAGTATCACTACAGAAGTAGATTGCCTGACCATCCTTCCGAGGAGTGGCTGGTGGGTTTGAACCACCAGCCTTCTGGTTAGCAGTCAAGTGCCTTAGGCACTATACCACCAGAGATACAGACTCAGAAACCAAAGGAGGAGTTATTATGAGTCAGATCAACTCAACAACAGTGAGTTTGGTTTTTTGGTGTGTGGTTTTTTTTTGTTTCTTTGGTTTTCTGTTCTGCAGTATGGCCAAAAGCCTAAGCAAATGTAGGGCTCACCTCACTCAGTTTCCTTTCCTCAAAGATTGCTGTCTTGTGCTCCTTGTTTTCCCATGTCTGAAAATATGGATTTCAAGTATTTTGTGCAATTTTCTGCCTATTCCAGAGGGAGGGTGACTCTGGTAATTACTCTCTCATGACCGGAAATAGAAATCCTCCCTTTGGGTAATTTCTGGTTGAGAGAATTATAAGGGAACAGTCTTCATTGTTAAAACAAAACACAGTATAAGGATTTGGCAGAGACTAGCTCGGGAAAGAGAATCTTCAGGTGAGAGGGATGACTGAACAAGTAGGGCCTTCTATTTCAGCCTCTCTCTTTCCCCCACCACTGCTCCCTCCCAACACACACAGACTCATTTCTAATTACAGCCCCTAAAAGTCTTACTTGGTTCATCTTAGTACTGGCAGAATTAAGCTATGGATGAGTAACAAGGAAATACTTTCAGAAAAGTACAAACATCTTAAAAACACAACAGAAGTCTTAGACCCATCAGTAACTGCTTTAGCTGTGGTCCCAAACTGGCTCACTTTCCTCTCAGTTCCTGCCTATGTCCACAGGGTGTGTGGTTTTTTGAATTTCCCATCTTATCTTCTCAAGAAATAGAAAAGAATATGCTGACTCTGGCACCCACCTGGCTCCACTCACTGAGACCACATCCTTCTGCAATGGATGGATCCGGATCAGTTTTTAATGGACATAATGAATGAATTTTCTCTCCATGAGGAAACATATGTCCCATCCAGAGAAGAATGGTTTTGACAAAGTTCTTCCCCTTTGTTCATTTGCTTGTTTATGAGTAAGTATTTATTGAGTGTCTACCATCTGTAAGGCCTTATGTTAACTATAGAAAATATAGTGATGAACCAAAGCAATTTG